CTCAGCTAATGTATTGGATTTCTTCATTTCATCTCTCTGCGCAGCTCTCAAATCCAGTTTTCAAATTTCCCTCACTCCTCGTGTCAGTCAGCATTCCATAGACATTGAGCATCTTCAGTCTTCATTAGATTGTTTTGGGAGGTGGAGACAGGATTAAGGGTTTTTTCTAAAGATTTGTTTATACTTCTGCAAACCTTCGTTTCCTCAAATCTGTTCATACCTCCCTCTTCTGTGTTGTCATTTTGGCTATGTAAGCAACAGCAGTCAAAGAACAGAATTGTAACTAAAATATAGGATTATGGCACAAATGAAAGTTATTTTCCTCATGCTTAAACAAGAACTGAAATAGAAAGGCACAGGTCAAACCATGCTATGCTTTAATCAGCCTAGCAGGTGACTGAGCAAGTGGGATGTTCCTCTCTTCAGAACTAAAGGCAAATACTGTATCAAAAGGTGAAGCAGTCCAATTTCACCTGAAGACAGAGCTAGATATATCCCAAGGCCCTCATATTATCTGGTGTCAAAAGTGATATAAAGTGTTACTCTTTTCTCCCTCAAAAACCACTGATTTCTGCATGGGGTGAAATCAATTAGTAAAACATTATGAAATTATACGTGTTTGTATGTCTTTTTAAGTGTTTGTTTGTTCTTAAAATTTTGTAAAACTAATAAAAAAATTTTTTTTAAAAAAAAAAAGGACAGAGGTTGGAAAGTAACAATTGGGAGTTGCTATAAAACTATGGACATTGGGATGCAGAAAGGGGGGGTATGGGGGAGTCTCAGAAAAGAGGTTTATGAAAAACATTATGAAATTATACGTGTTTGTATGTCTTTTTAAGTGTTTGTTTGTTCTTAAAATTTTGTAAAACTAATAAAAATTTAAAAAAAAAAGAAATCAATTAGTAACAGCCAGATCCACAAAATCTTTAGCCAATAGGTTCTAGCAGATTTGGACCCTCCAATGTCGCCTCAATGTGACTGTGCTTCCAAGTCTCTAGGTGCTTCCAAGTTCTTCTAGATAAAAGGCACTAAAAGAATAAAGAAATAACCTTAAACTCAGAGAGTCAAGTCCAGACTCACTAGGATGCTCCGCAATATACAAATCCCATTCTGCTTTAAATTAAAATACCACTAAGATTTGTGGTGCCCACTAATAACTGAATAACTTGATTAAACATTACAGTCCAGGTTATCACTTAGGTTAATCTTCTTAAAAAAATATATAAAGAATGTCACAGATTAATTACATAGCAAATTTTAAAAAAATTATATTAAAGCAAGTGTTTATAAAATTGCATGTGGCAATTTAAAGAGGCATCCATCACAACCTGGGCTGCTCAAACAGTTAAAAAATCTTTCTTATTAATAGAACTATTAGTTTGTTGATATGCTTACTAAGTATCATTAATGGGGGGGCATCAATGGCATCTCTCTGCCACAAGGATGGGGAACCACTCCAAACTGGTGAACCAGATTGTTATTCTCCCCGCCCCCTCTGCACAGGGCAAGTTTGACAGGTAGCTCACCTGTCAATTGCCTGACATCGTAATAACACGAGGTGACCTTTTTTTGCCTGCTATTTTGCACAGCGCTTTGAGCAGGGCTTCTGAAAATATGACAATTGGCTGATTGTTGGATCTTCCAAAACCCAGTTCAAAGCACCACAGAAAATAGCACTTTAGAATTCGTCAGAAGCCACACTGAGACGGCTAGCTTGCCCTGCACTGTGAAAGAGCCTTGGCAAGCACTGCCAATGAGCTAATCAGTAATGCCTGCAAGCACCCCTTCTGCCAAGCCCCGCCCTTACCGTCATACATGACATCAGGTTAGGGCAGGTGGACGTGACTTCGTTGAAATAGCCTAATGGGCCAAATGTGAAGGCCTGGGAGGCATAATTAGACCCACAGGCCAAAGGTTTCCCACTACTGCTCTATCACAGTCTCTTCTCCCAACTTACCAGAATTGCAGAACACACAACCAGGACAGGAATTATGGCAAGGAAGGTTAGACACCCAATTTTTCCCTAGGAATGACTTATGTACAAACCCCATCAGGGGGTTTGGGCTGGGTGTTCATCAGTATGCAGATGACACCCAGCTCTACCTCTCCTTTAAATCAGAACCAGTGAAGGCGGTGAAGGTCCTGTGTGAGTGCCTGGAGGCTGTTGGAGGATGGATGGCGGCTAACAGATTGAGGCTGAATCCTGACAAGACAGAAGTACTGTTTTTGGGGGACAGGGGGCGGGCAGGTGTGGGGGATTCCCTGGTCCTGAATGGGGTCACTGTGCCCCTGAAGGACCAGGTGCGCAGCCTGGGAGTCATTTTGGACTCACAGCTGTCCATGGAGGCACAGGTTAATTCTGTGTCCAGGGCAGCTGTTTACCAGCTCCACCTGGTACGCAGGCTAAGACCCTACCTGCCCGCAGACTGTCTTGCCAGAGTGGTGCATGCTCTAGTTATCTCCCGCTTAGACTACTGCAACACGCTCTACGTGGGGCTACCTTTGAAGGTGACCCGGAAACTGCAATTAATCCAGAATGCGGCCGCTAGACTGGTGACTGGGAGTGGCCGCTGGGACCACATAACACCAGTTCTGAGAGATCTGCATTGGCTCCCAGTACGTTTCCGAGCACAATTCAAAGTGTTGGTGCTGACCTTTAAAGCCCTAAACGGCCTCGGTCCAGTATACCTGAAGGAGCGTCTCCACCCCCATCGTTCAGCCCGGACACTGAGATCCAGCGCCGAGGGCCTTCTGGCGGTTCCCTCATTGCGAGAAGTAAGGTTACAGGGAACCAGGCAGAGGGCCTTCTCGGTAGTGGCTCCTGCCCTGTGGAACGCCCTCCCAGCAGATGTCAAAGCAATAAACAACTATTTTACTTTTAAAAGTCATCTGAAGGCAGCCCTCTTTAGGGAAGTTTTTAATGTTTGATGCTGTACTGTTTTTAATATTCAGTTGGAAGCCGCCCAGAGTGGCTGGGGAAACCCAGCCAGATGGGCGGGGTATAAATAATTAATTATTATTATTATTATTATTATTATTATTATTATTATTATTATTATTATTACTGTGATGAGATATACAGGGAACCTCATGTTTGCCTTATGTATAGTTTTACCCAGAGAATTTTAATACAGCACTGTGAAATTTAAAACAATCTTGAAAATCAATATGCGACTTACGATGCAATCTAGGAGTTGGAAACCTGTGACCTTCCAGATGTTGTTGGATTTTGTAAATCACTTAGAGGTTTTATTTATAACCAAGCAGTATATAAATTCTGTTAAGCACATTCCAATTCAAATCAGCCCCAGCCAGCATGGCTGCTGTCAGGGATGGATGGGAGGTGTGGTTCAGTAGCATTATGCAGGGTCACAAGTTCTCCATCTCTCTTAGATGTGTCAAATAGGGTTTACTTCTGAATAGACACATACAGTACAGGATTGACTGTTACTGTCATGTTGTTCTAGGATTCCAAATAAATAATATAGCAACTCTAAAAAACCAACATCACAGCTCTGCAAACTGATTAATAATAGTTAAAAAAATGTGTAATTCTAAAATTTGTGGTCAACTAACATTTCTTCCAAGAATACTTCAAAACTGATCAAAGAATCGCCCAGAGAATTAAAAATGAACACTTCCAAGTCTTAATATGCTGTGTTGTCACACAGTTAAAAGTTATGGGGTCAACAAAGCTTTGATGAATGGGCTGCAACCTCTCAATGCTTTTTACATGAGAATAAGTAAAACACAGGCAATGTGTCTAGTATTTCTGAAATAAAGAAGTTTTGTAACACCAACAGTATATTATCTAAAGCACCCAACATGTGCCAATTATATTCTACATTTTTACAAGTACTACTGACACTCAAGGCATTAAATTAAGACTGTTTACAACTTGAACCCGTGGCCCAGGTCTTCATAACTCATAACCAATCAAACAAAAAAAACAAGAGCCTGATAAACATGTTGTGCTTGTTGCATGGTCCTTCAAGAACTGCAGGGCTGTCAGGCACCTGGCAGTCTGGGGAGCTTTTTTTGGCTTGGTTCTGAAGGCCGCCTCCTCCTCCTGTCCAACATTCTTACACATTTAATTGCTGTGACAAACATTTCAGAAATTAATGGATAAATATTCCATAAAATTTCTGCCAAACAATAATCCTTAATAGAAGGCCATATTATTGCATGGTCAGATAAAATCCCAAGCCAGTGTTTTTAGGACTGCAGCCTTGGGGGTGGGGAGGGACTTTTTCAGGTCCATAAAAAGGTAGCCAAATTAGAGCCTTATTCTAAAATCCATGTCCTACAATGGAGCTAACCACAAAGTCCTTTTAAATACAAGCTATATCCATAAATACGAGTTCTTTGAAAGCAGGTGGATTAAAACAAATTTGAAGTTCTATTTGTAGTAAGCTTTACAATACCACACACATTTTGATTTAAACGATTCGAGAACTGATAGTTCACCAGGAAGTTCCATTAGCTATAGGCATAAAGAAATCCATCATTGTTCAGGTGTATGAAACGGGGGTGTGTAAGATCCAATGGAACCACGGCCCTCGCCATTAGAAGGCACCCCTCATAAAAAAGGCAAAGAAGATAAGAAAAAACCTGAAATAATATGAAGAGAGTCGATCAAGATCCAATCACCTCTTAAAGGTTGTGTGAACAAAGTAAATCCACCCTTGACAAAAGCCACTATGCCGATCCGAAGTGTAGCTACACGGAGGGATCTAGCAGAAGCATCGAGCTCTACTGTACTTGAGGTCAGGAGGAGATGCAGAGAATCCCAGGCTGGCTTTTTATTCTAAATGGGAGGCGGAGGGTGGGCCTCTTGCAAGGGGTGGGGAGGGAGCCCGGAGAAAAGAAAGGAAGAGCCGCCTCCAGGCCTCCTCTGACCCTGGGGCAGAGAAGGGACCAAGAGGGATCCCCCGAGAGATGCGGTGTTTAAGGGGGGGAGAGAGAGAGAGCCACGGATACTGGCACAAATCCATACTCACGGCTAACTTTCATGCTGCCAAAGGCCGAGGGCTGCTGCACCGGCTTGCAGCTTTCCGCAAAGGAGGTGGTTCTCGGCCGCCCGGACATGGTGCCTCGCCGCCGCCGCCGCCGCCACCCCCCGCGCTGGCCCGATCAACTCCCCTTCTTCCTCCTCCTCCTCCTCCGGTGCCGAAAGGGAAGGAGCAAGATCCAGGCTCCCCCGCCCAAAAAGACGGCTGTGGGGGGGCTCCCCCTCAAAAAGACCGTCTCTCCCCCCCTTATGGCGAGGGGGCCGCCATCCTCTGCCTCGGCGGCGGCCCAACCCTGCCCGACCCAGTCGCCGCCCCCCGAGGGCGAGAAGAGGAGCCGGCCTTGCTCGGCGGAGAGTCAGTCACACGAGGCGGCGGCTGAGGGGGAAAAGGGGCGCCCCCTTTTCTTCTCCCCCCCCCCCGCGGTGGGGGCGCCGGGAGACGCGGGGAAAAGGGCGGACTCTTCTTCCTCGCCCCTCCGCCGGGCGGAGGAATACGAGAGGCGGCGGGAGGAGGAGATGCGGAGCCCGCGCCCCGAAGAGGAGAGGCGAGGCGGCGGCGGCGGCGTGTGAGGGGCTCCTCCTGGCTCCCTTTCTCCTCAGCGCGGACACAGGCCGGGCCTGGCGCTGCTTCTCCTCATAGCGCCCAGCAGGCGGGCGAGCGGCGGCCGGAGGGGCGGCGGAGGCGGAGGAGGAGGGCGCTGCAGTGCGGCGGCGGCGGCGGGCGGGCGGCGGGGCGGGCCATGGCGGCGGCGCTGCTGCTCCTGCTCCTGCTCCCGGCCCGGCCGGCTGAGGCGTCGGGTCGCGCTGGGCGCCGCCTTTTCGCCCGAGCTCCTTTGTCCCTGGCGGTTCCTCCTTCGCTCTTGGCTTCCGTACTCGCTGGGCTGCTGGGGCTCGCCGCGCTTACGCAGCCTTCCTAAGTGCCCTTCGAGAATGCCGAAAGGAGCGTCCCGCTCCGAAAGGCGCCGCTGCGCTTTCTTCCATCCTACACCAAAAAGGGGGAGGAGGGAGGGGAAGCGGGAGCCTGCGAAGGCTTACGCAACCCGGCTAAGTGTGCTCCGTGAATGCCAAGCCGAACGGCCGAAGCGGGCCAGACCCGAAAGGATTCGGGCCGCCAATCCTCGAGAGCTGCCGCGGAATGCCCTCCCTCCTGGCACTACCTCGCCACCAATGAGCGGCGGCGACAGGAAACTTCCTCCGCTCCGCGAGGGCGGCCAATCACAGACGAGCTACGAAAAGAACCCAAGGGTGTACCCGTCCCTTCCCTTTCGGGAGCCAATAGGAAGCCGCTGTCCCTAAATGGTCGCTGCGGCAGAGCCAATGGGACGACAGGATGCTTCCCACGACAGGGGGACGGGCCCGGAGACCGTCTGATGCAAAATGGGTGGGGCCTAAGGCCAGCGCGGCTCCACCCTGCGCAGAAGAAGGGAAAGGGAAAAGCCGCGCCCGGCTGGGGCGGAGACTTGGCTTGGGCTGGGTTCAGATTGGCTCTTGGCGCCTGAAGTGCTCTTTTGTGATTGGGCGGCCGCGCTGAGGCGGCCTGGGAACGCCAACCAGCTTCCTTTCCGGCCCGCTGTGCGCCCCCATCTCGCCTCTGACGCGCGTTCCCATTGGAGGAGCTGCCTGTCCCCTAATGGGCGCGGCCTCGCCCGCCTCCCTTCTGAGGGGCCGCAGCTTCTTTCTTCGGCGAGGCGGGTCGGCGCCGCCCTGGAACTGGGCCGCGAATGGCAGCTGCCTCCCGGCCAGTCCCGCTGGGGGCTCCCTTCGCCCTCGGCTCCTCCGCAGATGCTGCCCCTAAAAGAGACTTACCATGAATAAGTAATAAAATTGGTCTGGCCCCTTTCATGCGAGGATCTCGGGGCGGCTGACAGGAAAATAAAAACACAAAATACATGAGAAGGACAAAAAACAAACCCAGAACCACCTTTCCCACACAAGCACATTTCAAAGGACATACAGGGGTACCTCGGGTTACAGACGCTTCAGGTTACAGGCGTTTCAGGTTACAGACTCCGCTAACCTAGAAATAGTGCTTCAGGTTGAGAACTTTGCTTCAGGATGAGAACAGAAATGGTGCTCCGGTGGTGCAGCAGCAGCAGGAGGCCCCATTAGCTAAAGTGGTGTTTCAGATTAAGAACAGTTTCGGGTTAAGAACGGACCTCCAGAATGAATTAAGTACGTAACCTGAGGTACCACTGTCTTATGTTAATGCGGGCCGGCCCTACCATGAGGCGGAGTGAGGCACTTGCCTCTGACAGATGCTGAGGTAGTGGGAGTGGCCAGAGCGGCCAGCGGCAGGAGACCTGCTGCCCTCGCATGTGGAAAATGCTGTCCTTTCACCAGGCTGCTATATGTGCCTGGACACTTAAGTCCAGGCAAAGGCAACGGGTTGTGGCGCTCATCTCGCTTTCAGGCCGAGGGAGCCGGCGTTTGTCCGCAGACAGCTTTCCGGGTCATGCGGCCAGCAGGACTAAACCTCTTCTGGTGCAACAGGACACTGTGACGGAAACCAGAGCGCATGGAAACGCCGTTCACCTTCCCACCACTGCAGTACCTATTTATCTACTTGCACTGGCATACTTTGGAACTGCTGGGTTGGCAGGAGCTGGAACAGAGCAACAGGAGCTCACTCCACACGGATTCGAACCGCTGACCTTCAGATCGGCAAGTCCAAGAGGCTCAGTGGTTTAGAGAACACACCACTACCCATATACCATATACAGTATACCGCCACCCATATACCATATACACTAATGTGGAATCTGATCTAATGCAAGCTTGCTCTAAAGCAAATCCCACTGAACTTGCTCCCAAGTAATGTGGCTAAGATTGCAGTCTTATTCCTCCATGATGTAGTGCTTACATTCTTTGCTTATGCCATTCACCTGGGTTACAAGTTTGGAACTACCCTTGCACACTTTACTGTGAAAAAGCTGAAGGGATCACTCATTGTTTTTATAATATCCCCGATGGAGCTCTTGTAAACTAGCCATTCACTCCATGGATAACTGGGGGCTGTACAGTCTCTAAACTTCAGAGGTTTAAACAGAGGCGAAACTAGGCTTTATTTCACCTGGGTCACATTTGCATAATCCCAAGCTGGGAGCCTCAATGGCACCCTTCTGGAGGTTTCACCCAGGGTAATAAACCTGGCTAGATACCCCCTCCCAGTAGCTACGGCACTGGGTTTAAACAATCTCACTGGAAAAAGTAGAATTACAAGCATGCAGCTAAAAGAAATATTAGGCTTCCTTGGGGAGCATGAAATACTGCTAAAATATTCTCACATTCATACAGTTAAATATTGGGGCCAGATTCAGCTAATGAGTCCTTCTAGCAGAATTTCTAGCACAATAATTTCTCCTAAGGCAGCAGGGCTCCCGTCCCCCATGCTGGGGTTGTCGTATTTCAAAAAGTGAAAATCCGGACACAAAAGTTGTTGAGCTATTTTTTAGGAAACTTGCCCAAAAATCAACACTATGGGCATATGGGCTACCGTATGCCTGGATTTTCCTGGACATTTTAACCAAATTCTGAAAATTCCCCCCAGACACTATTTTTGGTGAACAAATCCCGGATATGTCTGGGAAATTCTGGATGTATGGCAGCCCTACCCCATGTGCCCCAGAACATGTGGGACGAGGAATGGGGAGATCATAGTGCTACACTGAATTCCTCCTTTGATGTTTTGCTCACCCATTTGCAGCACCCAATTCTTTTACTGCTAGGGTGGGGCTATACCATGCTGTGAAGGCTTCCTCTCCCATATTTATATCTCTTGACACCGACACTCAGGGCAGACATGAAAATTGGCTATGGTTGAGCTTGTGCCAAGACCCAACCCCTGTGAGGGTGTCACTGCAATTGGCAAATAATTAGAATTAACCAAAGCCCTCCTAAAACTAAAAGCTTACTAAATTCCCAGTCTTATAGCCATTTAACTTAAAGACTAAAGAAGGAGGGAGGGATTGTAGCTACCAATCCAAGCAGGGATCCAGGAACTGGTTTCTGTGGACTGATGGGGAAAGTTGAGGAAGATGTATCTAGAACCCAATATATAGGACCCAGAATGGTCCAAATGGGAAATAAGTTTGGGGAAAATAGAGGGAAACATTTTAAATGGGAGCCTCACAAGTTTTAGCAGGTAAAATCAAACTATAAAGGATATTCAATATAGTGGTACCTTGGTTCTCGAACGAAATCCGTTCCGGAAGCCCGTTCAGCTCCCGAAAACGTTTGAAAACTGAGGCGCAGCTTCCCATCGGTTGCAAGAGCTTCTCACACTCAGCGAAAGCCGTGTCACATATTCAGGTTCCAAAAAACATTCGAAAACGGAAGCATTTACTTCCGGGTTTTCGGCATTCGGGAGCCGAAACGTTCGAGAATGGAGCCGTTCGAGTTCCGAGGTACCACTGTAAAACAAAACTCTATAAGAACTAAATGCATTCAGAACTGTTCATGAGCCCAACATTCAGATGCAAAAAGGTTGGAAGCTGCCCAGAGAGGCTGGGGCAACTCACCTTCATTCATGCATGCAGATTCACCCCCAAAATGCCCTGAGGCACAGGCAAAAAAGAAGTGATGAGCTACTATAAGTGGACATACACCCAAAGCCAAAAGAGCAGCCATCCCCACTCTCCATGCTTTGCTTGCTATGCTCTACCCTGATTGTTTTTCTAATAGAATGGGATGCATTTAAATAATCAGAGGCAAATGTATCTGTATAACACTGAGCATGAAAAAACAAGAAAGAAAACAACAGATCGCAAAGGATCAGTAAAACTGAAAATTTGGAAGAGAAGTATAGCCATACGAACAGTATGATTTTAAAAGTATTATAGAAAATAATAGTATCTCCAAAGTCCTTTTTCTAAAGCAAGATTACCATGAAAAAGGCACAAGGGCAGATAGGCTCTTTGCTTAAGGGCTCTCCAAAAGACTAATACAATAATTGTCTCTACAGTTAAATCCTCTACCATTGATAGCTATTTAACACTCTAGAAATAGCTAGTACGTTTGCTGTTTACTATGTGTCACTGTGTATGGCACGCGGGTGGCGCTGTGGGTAAAAGCCTCAGTGCCTAGGGCTTGCCGATCGAAAGGTCGGGTTCGTCCCGCAGCGGTGCTCCGTTGCTGTCCAGACCTTACTAGCAGTTTGAAGCACGTCAAAGTGCAAGTAGTATAGGACCGCTTTCTGGTAAACGCGTTTCGTGTGCGGCTCTGGCTCCCAGAGCAGTTCGTCACGTGGCACGTGACCGAAGTGTCTCGGACAGCACTGCCCCGGCTCTTAAGGAGATGTGGCAAACCCTAGAGCTGTAAGACTTCCGTACCGCAATCTACTTTACCCAAACCATTAACCAGCTCACAGAGAGTTCTTAGAAAGGGCAATACTGCCAATGAGAGTCCATTACAGAAGTATTGAAGAGTGATAAAATCTGGGTTGAGTGGCTTTCCTGCATTTTTTTTTTTTTAAATCATAAATATTTTGGGCCCATTCACAGGATCCTGGTTGGTCCTTATCATCCTCCCTGAATCAAGATGTTGCAAACCTTTTAGCTCATTGGCTCAGTATTATTACTAGCTTTTATATAAACATTTAAAAATGATTTTATCTTAAACAGACAAAATAGCAGGCAGCTGTCAGTAGAACTATAGATGAAATAATAATAATAATAATAATAATAATAATAATAATAATAATAAAAAATTTTATTTATATCGC